TGTGAATATTAGGCACCTCAGGTTATGTTAAGTTAAATTAGTTGTTTTTAGGTTACGTTAGCATTAGGTTAGGTTAAATTTGGTTATATTAGGTTAGGTTAGCGTTAGGTTAAGTTAAATTTGGTTATATTAGGTTAGGTTAACATTAGGTTAGGTTATTTTTGGTTATAATAGGTTAGATTTGTGTTAGATTATAGTATATTTTAATAGGTTAGGTAGGCGAGGTTTGGTCAGGTCAGGTTAGGTCATGTTAGGTCAGGTCAGGTCAGGTGAGGTCAGGTTAGGTTAGGTTAAATTAGTTTAGATTGGATTTTATTAGCTTACTATAGTATTATAATAGGTTAGGTTATATTAGCTTACATTACGGTAGGTTATTCTTAAGGTAATATAAGATTAGGGGTGATCCTTCAGGTATTCCCGTATATCTCCCTCTTGTTAACTTGATCACCGAGAACCAGGTGAGTTGTCAGGCCAAGACGAAGGAAATATATCCCCTGTACTTCTCTCCCACCTGAGTGTTTACTACAGGTACTTGACCAAAACTGTTTATGTTAATGACTAGTTAATTTCTGAAACAACGACGCTGTAGGTGGGGTGTATGATCCCAGGCGTGTCTGTGGGTGTACTGTGGGTGTACTGTGGGTGTAGTGTGGGTGTAGTGTGGGTTAATATTTATTAGTCTTTGTGTATTTATGTGAGTGTGTTGTCCTGATCTGGGGGTATGGGTATCTGGTTAAAGTTCCGAGGTGTTGAAGCAGCCGTCACAATTCTTGACACATGCATCCTACTTTTTTGACACAATCACCCCAGTTCTTGACACAATCACCCCAGTTTTTGACACAATCACCCCAGTTTTTGACACAATCACCCCAGTTTTTGACATAATCACCCCAGTTCTTGACACAGCACAGTGGAGACCTGATCTACATAATGCATGGCATGTTTGTGTCTTTCTTAATTCTTGACGCGGTTGACAGTTGGTGTAACGATGTATAAATTTGGTATTCAAATACTCCTTTCCCCGAGTCAGAGGAGAAGTATTAACGTAATTACTTCTTCACTTTGACAAAAGGAGAGAGAGAGAGAGAGAGAGAGAGAGAGAGAGAGAGAGAGAGAGAGAGAGATAATCAGTAGGAGTTTATATATATTTGTGTGTGTGTGTGTGGGGATATTCATGGAAAAGTACGCAAATGACATCTCACAATATAAATTAATTTGCAGGTAACTGAAAATGCGAGTTAGATATATACTATAATAATTAGGGCGCTAATTAATCTTCAGCACATAAAAAATATTCAGCGGAAAAATAAATGTTGTTCTTGTAATTAGTTTCGTATGTGACTAACACACCTGTATGATTGACCTCTTTAGTGATGGAGGCTTGTTACTCTCTCTCTCTCTCTCTCTCTCTCTCTCTCTCTCTCTCTCTCTCTCTCTCTCCAGCTAAATAACCCCTCACAGACCTTGCCTGCCACGGGACTGAACTCGTGTCTCATCAATTGGTAATCCAGAGCGAGTCGTTGAACACTTTTGCTATGATAATCCGGGTCCGGGTTTTAGTTCGAAAATGTGGGTTCTATTCCGGTTTTTATCAGGAAATTCTGGGTTTTATTCGAGATTTTAGTATAAGAATTCAGATCCCGACCCGCCCTTTGAATTATTTTCTGGGTCCAGCTGAGTCCATCCAGGTTCGAAGATTTTGTACACACACACACACACACACACACACACACACACACACACACACATCAACTCACAAAATGACTTTGATAAAATTATATAACAATAGAAGAGGTGCGTGATATAAATTCTAAAGTTGCTTCAGGTAAATTGAAACGCGTTATATGTCGGGCAGAAATTGGCAAAATCATGTGTTGGGGAGAGCGCCTTGAGCCCCTGGGCGATGCTGAAACAATACTCTGGGCTCAGGGTAAAATTTGAGCCCCCAGAGGATAATGTATCCCTGGAAAATGAGTCTGTACCGATTCATAATATATGTTGGAGGAACTGTTTCATAAAAGAGCTGTATCATGTGTATGTGTGTGTGTGTGTGTGTGTGTGTGTGTGTGTGTGTGTGTGTGTGTGTGTGTGTGTGTTTGTGTGTGTGAGTGTGTGTGATGAGACTACTTATACAGCACATACAAAACCATCTAACAAGAGACAGGAACACACCTTAAAACGGCAACACAGACAGATCCTATCTCTACTTCCCGTCAGTAGGAGACAATCTACCTGGAGGTCCTTCTACAGGTATTAGACAGAACTGTACTCCATCCCTCTGAGCTCTCTACTGTCTATGGAGTTGAAAAGAGTCGTTTCATTCCTCTTACAATTCGGGAACAAATGGGTATACCTACGTGGTCCTAGTTCCCTATCGTCTATGCCACTGCGGATAAACAGGTTGCGTTAATCTCCTTACTACTTCGGATTATATAGGTTGCTTAATGCCTTCCATCAATAGAATATAGATTAATTCTGTGTCTCTTTGTTACATCTTACCTTGAAGCTTCCCTATCGTTTCTAGGGGGTAAACAAATTCAACCATCTATAGGAACCACTAAGGACCTGATAACGTAGTCTAAGTTTCCTTTCTGGAAGTTAATGGATTGTTTTATAGCTCCCTTCAGCTCCAACCTCCTATCATCTATGGGGGTAAACAGACCCGCTTATTCTCACCGCCACTAGGGACCCTCAGAACCTGCCTACATGGTCTCGAGGCTGTGGGGAGAGTCAACACAGACTATGGTTCTTCGGCCCCATGAGGGAGTCCGCTACTACTACCTGCTGCTGCGGCTCGCCCTCTGAAGTCTCTCCCTCGCCAGTATTGAGTTTCACAGTGATTCTCTCCACAGTGTTAGCGAGGGAATGGAAAGAGGGAGTAAGTGGGGGAGAGAAGGAGGGAAGGCTGGAGGGAAGTAGGGCTAGGGTAGAAAGTGAATAAATGGAGAGGAAATGACTAAGTGATGGAGGGAAGGAAGAAATAGGGACGAGATGTAAGGAGGAAGAGAATGGGTAAGAGAAGGAAAGAAGGAAGGAAGGAAGGAAGGAAGGGCTTGGGGAGGTATAAAAGAAAGGGAATGAGTAAGAGATAGAAAAATGGAAGGGGGGAGGGAAGCGTTTGGGATTGGAGGGAAGAAAGAGAAACGAATGGATATGAGACGGAGGGAGGAAGGAATGTAAGTGAGGGAGGAAGGAATGTAAGTGAGGGAGGAAGGAATGTAAGTGAGGGAGGAAGGAAATAGAGTAAGGAGAGGTCTGGAATAGGAATAAAGAGGTAATAGAAATAGATTGACAAGGCGAAGAGGAGGAATAGAGAGAGAGAGGAGGAGAGAGTGTGAAGGAGAAGGCAGGACGGAGAGAGGGGAGGAGGGTCCTGCTTCACTGTTAAGAGGATATTAGTGTTCCCCACAACATAACATCTCCTGAGCCCTCCGCCATCCTTGTGTGTGTGTGTGTGTGTGTGTGTGTGTGTGTGTGTGTGTGTTTATCTAAAAGTACAGAAGCCAAAACTTGATAAAAGGTTTGATAAAAAAAACTTTCAGTACTTTATTGTAGAGGATCTCATGTGGTTGTAGTGTTTCCCTCTCTAGTGTTGTTGTGTTTGGTATAACTTTAGCTGCGGTTGTGATTAGTCTCCCTTCTAACATCAGCTATAGCTCTGATTAGCTTCCATTCTAACACTAACTATGATTTCATTTATAGCTTTAGTTAACCCTTCCTATAAAATCTGGTATAGCGTGAACTAAATATTTGGGTTTCCTTTTATAATTTTATCATGGATCTTATTCTATTCTCCTCTTTCCTCCCTTCTTCTGTTTCTTTCCATTTCTCCTCCTCCTCCTCCTGTCCTTCATCTTTTAATTTCTTTCTTCCTCCTCTTTCTTCCTTCCTCCTTATTTTCTATTTTTCCTCCTTCCATTCCTACCCTCTCTTCTTCCTTCTTGTTCTCCATTTCACCTCTCTCCTCCTTTCTACTCCTTCTTTCTCCCTCCTTTTTCCTTCTCTTTCCTTCTCCTCAATTTCCCATGCTCCTTCTCCTCCTCCCTTTCACACCTGTTACTCCCCATTCCTGTCCGTTTTGCCTCCTCGCCTCCCATCCTCATTCTTTCTCTTCTTTGCTTCCTGTTCCATCTCTTTGTCTCACCTCCTAGTGTTCTTTTTTTTCTTCCTCACACCATCTATCCTCCCAAATCTCCATCCACCTCCTCCTCCTCCCCTCCTCCTCGGCACCCTTCCCCTTTCCTTTTTTCACCTTCCTCCTCCCAGGTAATTAAAACATCATTAATCTTACTTCATGAAGGGGCGGCCTGTCTACCAATTTACATCAATCACGAGGGGTATCAGGACCTGGCTCTCCTACCGTGTTTACACAGGGGTCGTGGTGGCCGCTATCGTGAAAAACACCAACACGCGTTTCCCTTATCGCTGGACTTATTATTTCTCGATAAAGAGGAGTCTGTCGATCTTCCAGGCGAGGCCGTACCCATAAAATGACTGCGCCGGCACGAGCAAACAACAGCGCCTGACGTTCACTTGTCCATCCATCTTGAAGTGACACGCTCATGAAAACTCTACACCAGACGAGCGTTCGGCCGCCTGCCTGAACTTTAAAAGACAGCTCTCGTGCTAGCAGTAAACAGACTTGTTGACCTTTCTTCTTCAGTCTTTCCTGCAGAGACACGTTCACCGTATGTTTACGTCAGACGAAAGTTCGCCACACCGCAGTGGCGTAAGTAAACGATGCACACAAGTGTACAGGAAGAGCAGGAGGAGGAGAATTTAATCTACTAATTCCCACCGCTGTAGCAGGACCTCATTGTTTGCACTCTGGTGTTGATGACCCCCTCATGTACAACACCAACATAGGATTTTTCATTCCTTATCGCTGGAATTCCTCGATAAAATGAAAGTGTTGGCCAGTGATGGGTGCCTGGGCCGCTCTCTCCTGGTGCTTGTGGGCCGTTGCCTCCTGGTGCTTGTGGGCCGCTGTCTCCTGGTACTTAGGGCCGCTGTCTCCTGGTGCTGGGCCGCTGTCTCCTGGTGCTTGTGCTGTCTCTGGTGCTTAGGCCGCTGTCTCCTGGTACCGGGCCGCTGTCTCCTGGTGCTGTGGCCGTTGTCTCCTGGTGCTTGTGGCCGTTGTCTCCTGTTGCTTGTGGGCCGTTGCCCTGGTTTGGGCCGTCTCCTGGTGCGTGGCCGTTGTCTCCTGGTGCTTGTGGGGCCGGTGTCTCCTGGCCAGGCTGCTTGCTTGTGGGCCGGTGTCTCCTGGTACTTGTGGGCGGCTGTCTCCTGGTGCTTGGGGCCGGTGTCTCCTGGTGCTTGTCGGCCGCTGTCTCCTGGTGCTTGTACGCTGTTTCCTGGTGCTTGGGCCCGTTGTCTCCTGGTGCTTGTGGGCCGCTGTTTCCTGGTACTTAGTAGGGGAAAGACTTCAGGATTTTGTGTAGCTGTATGATGCTGACGTGTGCCGTGATAATGCCACTGTAAGTACTGTAAGAGGAGAGGCGCTGAGGGGGTAGGCGCTGTACAGGACGGGGGTGGAGTGAAGTAGGTAGGTAAGATAGAGAGAGGGAGGGAGGGAGAGAGACAGGCACTGAGGGGGAAGAAGTCAACACAAGGCACTGGAGCGACGGATATCGGGTCAGGAGGGAGGTCTTTTGTGCTAGGTTGGTGGGTCAATAGTGCCATCTTCCGGTCGGGTTGGCTCTCCCAGGTACTCATGGGTGACGTGTACACCCAGGTAGCTGACTGACCCTACCAGGTGCCAGTGCTGTAACACGACGCAGGTGCACACGTGGATGTCAATATATGAATATGTATAAAGGGGTGTGTGTGTGTGTGTGTGTGTGTGTGTGTGTGTGTGTGTGTGTGTGTGTGTGTGTGTGTGTGTGTGTGTGTGTTGGGCATTATACATAACTATCCACGGACTACTAGCTCTATACAGGTGAGAGGGGCCCCCCTACCTCAGAATTAATTACACGTATACGCACGACAATTTGGACCTCACTGCGAATACTGTTATGTAAATCGTCACGAGGTAGGACCCGGTGTTTGGATCGCCGACCTGCCTCATGTTAGACACTGCGTCGCTGTGTATTGTACGACCACTGTCACGTTCACTGTCCCCTATATGTTGTGATGTTATGATATGAAGAGAATATTTGTTTTTGTGTTATTCTATCTCAAGACAGTATGACAGATACACAGAGACGCTGATTTATACATAATTTGATAGATTGATAGATTGACTAATAAGTAGATATATAGATAGATTGACACTTAAATTTCTCAGGATTTTTCCGAAACCTATTTTTTTTCGTTTATATAACTACACACATACAGACACACACACACACACACACACACACACACACACACACACACACACACACACACACACACACACACACACATTATACAGCTGCACCTTAACATTCGCGTGGTAGTTTCAAACATGGTGCAGTGATCCCTGGGCAAACGTTAAATAAACGGTAGTATGTATACAGTAGATAAAACCATAAAATATTACAGATATAATGTAACAGTACAATATCAATTTTTGTTTTCCATCACAAAAATAAAATAGTTTACAGGTAACAACTCGAACATTAGCATTATGAAAATGGTGTAACGTAGTAGAAGTCCCGTGCTTTATTGGGCTAATGAAATATATATATATATATATATATATATATATATATATATATATATATATATATATATATATATATATATATATATATATATATATATATATATATATTTTTTTTTTTTTTTTTTTTTTGAGGATTAGCCTCCTGGGCACAGGTCACTGACCCACATCAGGGCCTCGGGGGCAAAAATATATTTATAATAAATAATAATAATAATAATGATAATAATAATAATAATAATAATAATAATAATAATAATAATAATAATAATAATAATATCTATTATTATTATTACAACAATTAATAAAATTAGTAGGAAATTAATAAAAAAATAATAATAATAACAATAACCATAAATAAATACCAAAAAAAAATAATTCAAGAGTGAGAAACGATATACATTATGTATGTTGTGTTGTCCAAGTAAGAGAAACAATTGAGACCCTGCAATTGTGTGTAGATGAGGCAGAAAGTCAGATTAGCAACCTGGGACTTGGTCACAATTTTTGTGATGCCATATGGCAGCAGGGTCTACCATTAGACAACACATTATGTTTCCAATATCTTGCCAGGCGGTAGTACCCCTGTTTGGTAGCTGCTTACTACCTAGTGGTTATCTCAGCCCATAATAGGTCACTGTACTGCCTTTGTTTACGACTCACAGCAGCTGGTACTCGCTCACAGTAGCGTTGGGCGTTATGTTGTTGGTCCATCATCTGTCATGGCCTTCATAGTGTGCCCTTGTATAAAGAGAAAGACAAAGTGATGTCAATTTGTGTCATCATACAGAACAAGACAATTTTATTCTTAGCTTTATGTTATCTAAATATACACTATACACTATACAGTCTCTCTGCTGTCTTTTATGATGATTTTAATTTAATCAATTTTCCTCTGTACTTGCTCATCGGTGTGATCACTATCGCCATTTTCACATAAGGTATAAGTATTGACATCAGCTGCACTGTACTCGCTCCACGTGTTAATTAATTCATGTTGTTGTATTGCGTTTTTTGCAACAGTAATATTGAAGCTATAGTTTTTTGCTTTATTTATTATTGCATTCCCCGCTACTGAAGTGAAGTTGTATGTTACAGTATGTGATGCTTTTGAAACCGGTCCGTGAGTCATGACAGCATTCATATTTGGTGATAGTCTCTGTGTGTTGGTGTTCAACCCGTTACCATTTTATGCTTGTGTTTGTGTTAATAATAATAATAATAATAATAATAATAATAATAATAATAATAATAATAATAATAATAATAATAATGATGATGATGATGATGATAATAATAGTTTACACAGGACGTCTGGGCAATAAAAGTAAATAGCACATTGTGTCTCTGCTACAGGGCGGACACTCACCAAAACAAATAATCAACCTCCTGGTCATCCTCTTCACACACACACACTCGTCACGATACTTGCCGACTGTGGCTTCGTCCTTACAGTCTTTTGAGTAAACGAGGGAAAAAGATATCCGTCTCTAATGTGAGGTGCGGCGGTCAAGTGGATACAGGGTCACTCTCAGCTCACACAGTTGCAAATGGCTACCTAACTTTACAGCTTGGAGAAGGGAAGGTAGTCAAGTACAGTGTCAGCTTCACTGCTTCAAATGGCTACTGAAACAGCTTATTACACAGTGTCCTTTATTTACACTGTCCATATGGCGTTCACTGTTGCCAGTAGGTCCTTGGGAACTTTCAGGTGAACACCACCAACACAGGGCTCGAGTACTGTACACTCCCGCACCGCCAAGTGTGTTCAGGACCACAACGGGTTCTCGGGCGTGTTTGCAATAATCAGTATAAGCTAGACAGCAGAGGCCAGACAGCTTGGAGCATCCAGGGAAATACCCCACTGCACAATTCCCAGAGGTGACGTGATTGAATACAATCCGTTACTGGCGTCCTCCTGCCCACACAGCCACGGAGGGGCAGTAGAGGGGGTGTCAATGATGCCATTACTTTGGAATATCCGGCTAAGTTATTGGGTTCGGATTTCTTCGATGTTTTGTGGTTATTTGAGTATGTTAACAAGACACGAGATTTACCTCAATATGTACGATTTGTGTTTAAGATGCATAGGATTTATGTCTGCATAATGGGTATGGGATTTTAATGTAGGAAATTACTCAGTGCCTCACCTGTATACGATAAAGTACACGGGATTTAATTTCTACACAGACGATATCCAGTTAGACTGCCTTAGATTTAGTCTCCTTATAAACGATATACTCGTACTGTATGGAAGTATGGGAGTCTATCTTTATGAACATTATATAGAAATAATTTGTATGTCAGTAATATACAATGAATGAACAGGATTTATTCCAACATAAAACTTGCAGTATATGTATCAGATTAATTGATCCCCCAATATTAAAGGAGAGAATGTGCTGGGATTATTTTAGCGGAAGTAATAATCGATAAAATCCCCGGAATTTAGTATCTAAATAAACTTTAATCCAAGCAACGCAATATAAGAATAAATTTCTCACAGAGATTTAATTTCATGACAAAATCTCGGGAGACTCGTCCAGGATTTTCTCACCCTTACTTCAACTCTTACCAGGACAATTTTCAGAAATTTAGCCAAAGTTGCTGAAGTGGAGCCTGGACTCTTGTCGAGACCCACCACGCTGATGAGCACGGAGGCAACCATTTATGGAAGTCATGTACGCTCTCAGGTGGAGTGCTACTTCCTTAATTAGTGGGTGTGGTGTTGGGGCACTGTGGGCTGGGTGTTGTGCACCGTGGACCGGGTGGTGCTGGGGCACCGACTGCGTGGTGTTGGGGCACCGTGGACTGCGGTGCTGGGGCACCGTGGACTGGGTGGTGGTTGGGGCACCGTGACTGCGTGGTGTTAACACCGTGATCGTGGTGTTGGGGCACCAGGACTGCAAAAGGCACGTGGATCGGTGGTGGTTGGGCACGTGGACTGGGTGTGCGTCAGCACTGTGACTGGGTGGTGTCAGCACCGTGACTGCGTGTGCTGGGGCACCGTGGACTGGGTGTGGTGTTAGCACCAGGACTGCGTGGTGTTGTAGCACCGTGACTGGTGTTGGGGCACCGTGGACTGGGTGGTGTTGGGCACCGTGGACCGGGTGTGGTGTTGGGGCACCGTGGGCTGCGTAGTGCTGTGCACCGTGGACTGGGTGTGGGTGTTAAAATGTGGACTGGGGTGCGGTGTTGGGGTAACCGCATGACCGTGGTGTTGGGGCACCAGGGACTGGGTGTGGTGTTGGGGCACTGTGACCGGTGTGGTGTTGGGGCACTGTGGACTGGGTGTGGTGGTTGGGCACCAGGACGGGTAGCTGGGGCACCGACCGTGGTGTTGGGGCACCGTGGACTGCGGTGCGCTGGGGCACCGTGGACCGTGGCGTTGGGGCACCGTGGACCGGGTGTGGTGTTAGCACCGTGACCGTAGTGCTGGGGCACTGTGGACTGGGTGTGGTGTTGGGGCACTGTGACCGTGGTGTCAGGCACCGTGGACTGCGTGGTGCGGGGGCACTGTGGACTGCGTGGTGTTGGGGCACCAGGACTGGGTGGTGTTGGGGCACCGTATCAGGTGTTGGGCACTGTGACCGTGTGGTGTTGGGGCACCGTGGACTGGTAAGCGCAGCACCGTGGACTGCGTGGTGTTGGGGCACTGCGGACTGGGTGTGGTGTTGGGGCACCGTGGGACTGGGTGGTGTTGAAGAACGGGCTGGGTGTAGTGCCAGGCACCGTGACTGGGTGTGGTGTTGGGCATCAGGATCAAATGTGTTGGGGCACCGTGACGTAGTGTTGGGGCACTGTGGACTGGGTGTGTTGGGGCACTGTGGACTGGGTAAAGTTGGGGCACCGTGGGACTGTGTTAGCACTGTGGACTGGTGTGGTGTTGGGGCACCGTGACTGGGTGTAAGCAGTACTGTGGACTGTGGCGGGCACCGTGACCGTGTGCTGGGGCACCGTGGACCGGGTGGTGTTGGGCAACGCATCGTGGTGTTGGGGCACTGTGACTGTGTGCTGGGGCACGTGACTGGGTGTTGGGGCACCGTGGACGTGGTGTTGGGGCACCGCGACCGTGGTGCTGGGGCACCGTGACTGTGGTGTTAAAATGGTGACTGGGTGCAGTTAAAGCACGTGGACTGTGTGTTAAAGAATGTGACTGGGTGGTGTTAAAGTACTGTGACTGGGTGTGGTGTTGGGGGCACCAGACTGGGTGTGGTGTTGGGGCACTGTGACTGGTGTACAATGACGGCGCAGGCACTGTGGACTGGGTGTAGTTGGGGCACCGTGACTGTGTGGTGTTGGGGCACCGTGGACTGTGTGTTGGGGCACCGTGACCGGGTGGTGTTAGCACCGTGACTGGGTGTGGTAAGGGCACTGGTGACTGGGTGCTGGGGCACAGGACCGGGGTGTGGTGTTGGGGGCACCGTGGACTGGGTGTTAAAGTACCGTACTGCAGTGTTGGGGCACCGTGGACTGGGTGGTGTTGGGCACCGTGGATCGTGGGTGTTGGGGCAACAGACTGGTGGTTAGCACCGTGACTGGGTGTGGTGTTGTACACCGTAGACTGGGTGTAGTGTTGTGGGCAACTGTGATTGGTGTGTGGTTGAAATAATCGTGATTGGTGGTGTTGGGGCACTGTGGACTGCAGCAAAGGTCAGGACTGGGTGTGGCAAGGGGCACTGTGGACCGGGGTGTGCGTTAAAGCACTGTGGACCGGGTAGTGGTGCCGGGTACCCGTGGATCGCGTGTTGTATACCGTGGACTGCGGTGTTGTGCACTGTGGACTGGGTGGTGGTGTTAGCACTGTGGACTGGGGTGTAGTGTTGGGGCACTGTGACCGGGTGTGGTGTTGGGCACCGCGGACTGGGTGGTGTTGGGGCACCGTGGACTGGGTGGTGTTGGGGCACCGGTGACTGTGGTGTTGGGGCACCGTGGCTGGTAAAGGGCACCGTGACTGGTGGTGTTGGGGCACTGTGACCGGGTGGTGTTAGGTACCGTGGGCTGTGTGTTGGGGCACTTTGACTGTGGTGTTAAACGGGACGGTGGTGTTGGGGCACCGTGACCGGGTGTGGTGCTGGGGCACTGTAACGGGTGGTGCCAGCACCGCACGGTGTGTTAGCACTGCGTGACTGCGGTGTTGGGGCACCGTGGACTGGTGGAAGCACTGTGACCGGGTGTAGTGTTGCACCGGACCGCGGTTAAATGCGGGCTGGGTGGTGTTAGCACTGTGACTGCGTGTTGGGAAAATGTGACTGCGGTGTTGTGCACTGTGACCGCAGTGCTGGGGCACCGTGACTGGGGTGTTGCACTGTGACTGGTGGTGTTGGGGCACCGTGACCGGTGTGGTGTTGGGGCACCGCAGACTGGTGGTGTTAGCACTGTGACTGGTGGTGTTAAACATCAGGACTGGGTGGTGGTGTTAAAACCGGACCGGTGGTGTTGGGGCACCGTGACTGGTGGTGTTGGGGCACCGTGACTGGTGTGGTGTTAGCACCGGACCGGTGTGGTGTTGTGGCACCAGACGCGGTGTTGGGGCACCAGGACTGGGTGGTGTTGGGCACCGGACCGGGTGGCGTTAGCACCGTGGACTGGGTGTGGTGTTGGGGCAACTGTGGACCGTGTGTTGGGGGCACCGTGGCTGGTGCGCACCGACCGGGTGGTAGTGGCGCAGCGTACCGTGGACTGGGTGGTGTTGGGGCACTGTGACTGGGTGTGGTGTTAGCACTGTGGACTGGGTGTGGTGTTGGGGCACCAGGACTGGGTGGTGTTAGCACTGTGGACTGGGTGGTGTTGTGCACCGTGACTGGTGTGGTGTTAGCACCGTGGACTGTGTGTTAAACGTGACCTGGGTGTGTTGTGTGGACTGGTGGTGCCAAAAATTGTGACTCGTGGTGTTAAAGACCGTGGACTGGTGTGTGTTGGGGCACGTGACTGGGTGGGCACTGTGGACTGGGTGTGTGTTGGGGCACTGTGGGCTGGTGTGGTGTTGGGGCACCGCATCGTAAAAGCTGGGGCACCAGACTGGGTGGTGTTGTGCACTGTGGGGCTGTGGTGTTGTGGCACCAGACTGGGTGGTGTTGGGCACCGTGGGGCTGGGTGGTGTTGGGGCACTGTGGGCTGGGTTAGTACCGTGGACTGGGTGTGGTGTTGGGGGCACCAGGTGTGGTGGTTGGGGCATCAGGCTGGGTGTGGTGTTGGGGCATTGTGGCTGGGTGTGGTGTTGGGGCACCAGACTGGGTTAGCACTTAACGGGTGTGGTGTTGGGGGCACGCATCGCGTGTTGGGGCACTGTGACCGGGTGTGGTGTTGGGGCACCTGTGGGCTGTGTGTTGGGCACTGTGACTGGGTGTGGTGTGTTGGGGCACTGTGGGGCTGTGGTGTTGGGGGCACTGTGACTGTGGTGTTAAACACTGTGACTGGTGGTGTTGGGGCACTGCACCGGGGTGTTAGGGACTGTGGCACTGACTACAGTAGGTGTTGTGGTACAGATAGGGTGGTGGTTGGGTAGAGCTGAGGTAGTGGTTGTGGCACAGCTAGGGTGGTGATCGTTGTGGTAGGCTGAGGTAGTGGTTGTGGGACAGCTAGGTGGTGATCGTTGTGGTAGAGCTAGGGTGGTCGTTGTGTGGTACAGAACAGGGCAGGGGTGGGTGCAGCAGGGTGACACTGGAGGACAGGGCAGGGGCAGGGCGGGGCCATTCTACCAGCATTGTTTATCGATCTGGAGCAGTGAGGTGAACTGAAACGCAACCTCTCTCTGAAATATGGATGACCATGGTGGTGGTGGTGGTGGTGGTGGTGGTGGTGATGATAGTGGTGGTAGTGGTGGTGGTGGTGATAGTGGTGGTGGTAGTGGTGATAGTGGTGGTGGTAGTGGTGATAGTGGAAGTGGTAGTAGTAGTGGTACTGTTATTGACATGAGGATGGTAATAATCTTAATGTTTGTAGTGGTGGTTGTAGGTGATAATGGTGTTAGTGGTAGTAGTAGTGGTGGTGGTAGTAGTAGTAAGTGGTGGTAATATTAAGACTGGACCTAGTACTGTCATGGCCGCCGTTGTTTATTGTGACCGGAACAAAAACACTGGTATTACTTAGTTCACGTTCTTAAAATAGTTGTGTAAAAATATACTGAGTCAGTCCGTTTGTTGCAGTGTGTGTGTTGCTTACGTAGTCAAACTGGTGGGCGTGTGTATGCATGAGAGAGAGACCATATGTTTTATAAAGAATTTGTAGGCCATATTCTATAAAGCTGTTTTTATTCACTTAATATCTACATACCGATTAAGGAAGATTATAACTCATATAGCGTCTTATACATGAATGGTGTTATATAATTCCTGTCTCACATATAATCTAATAATATGTGAATTATCGAAAAGAATGGACCATATAATTCTTGGGTCGACTTGATTTCTATTCGATGTTGATAAATTATAGCAAAGTTTAGTAGTTCAATAGTGTGATAGATAAATGGATTGGTGGATAGATAAGGGGATGGATAGAAGGATAGGCAGATGAATGAATGGAAGGATAAGCAAATGAATGGGTGGATAGACGAATGGATGGATGGATGAATAAATGAAAACAAAATTGGATGAATGGAAATAGAAATGGATGGATGGTGGACAGCAGAAGATAGACAGATCAATAGGTGGGAAAATAAATGGACAGAAATACCATGATCATCAACAGTTACAAGTCACATTTACCTGAGTTATGGCTGCTGGTTCACTAGACTAATTTCTGTGGTTTTATTTATTTATTATTATTTTTTTTTATCAAGGTGGTTAACTACCATGAGTGTGAAGCATCGATCATTAATGGGGTTGCGTTGACCGAGGGGATACAGAGCTCATCTCCTGTCGTAAAGGTTGCCGGTTCGAGTTCCGGGATCATTCAGTTACCCAGCTGTAATTGAGCACCTAACTTTACAGTTGGCAAGTGACAATGGTCGAGTGTACTGCTTGTCTTTTTATGTACTGTACGTATTAACGGACTATGGAACACACTTTCAAATGCGTAGTTCGGAGAGACAGTAATTAAGAACATAAGAATGGGGGAAACTGCAGCTGACCTATTGGCTCATACTGGGCAGTCGCTTTTACACCCAACCCCTATCGCTCATATATCCATCCAACTTATGTTTGAAGCTACCCAGCGTATTCGAGTTAATGAGCTCATAATTTCTTTTACTTTTAGGGGTTTTAACTGTCAACCTCACGTTAGAACACACGAAAGAGAAGCCTTAAGAACTGGCTGTCAACGTGATCAGGAAGGAGCCGACATCTATTTTATCGTGACCGAATCAAGGCGTCACCTCAAGGCGCCTCGATACTGTTTCTGGGAGCATCGTGTGTTATGTGTGTCGTGAAACTTATACTGTGTTTAAACCCAAACATCAGTGCCTGGCCAACTTAATACAATATCTCAGGTGAGTTGGAGCATTTATATGACATTTTCCTCATAGATTAAAACCTAACCTAACCTAACGTAACCTTACCTAACCTAACCTAACCATTAGGATTGAGACTCGGTCCTAGTGAACTCTAGTTATATTGACCCCAATCGTATTGAGCTCCAATCTTTATGGTTAGACTAGAAAACCTGTTAGGACTGGGGGCTTCTTACGACTTGTGCCCGTGTGACCCTCAACTGGCTACAGTAACGATGGTTCACTTGGGTCTGATTGGTCGTAGTTAAGACTCATCACAACTGGAGATGCTGGGGAGAGGCTAGGTGAATGCGGCCTCTTCCTCCTCCTCAGGGCTGGCAAGTGGCCCAGGAGCCTGTGAGATATTCTTTCTTCCTTTTGTCCAACTCTCATGAATTTTTTTTGTCATTATAATCAGCTTTCCAACTGCTTGAATAATTTTATCAAAAACTTTTCCCTCACACAAAAATTACATAGATAATAAAAAAAATAATTTTTTCCGTTCTTCTTCAACTCTTGAGCTTTTTAAAGTTTGAGAGAGTCCCCTAGCGGTTTGGCGCGGGAGTATGACAGCTAGGTGCGGGAGTACGACAGCTAGGTGCGGGAGTAAAGACAGCTAGGTGCGGGAATACTACAGCTAGGTGCGGGAATATGGTGATGCACATCAAGTACGTTTCTCAAGAGATATCACCTTCCGCTTCCTCAAGACAGATGTTCACTCCTTCTGACAGCAGTACCTGGAGACACCTGGGACCTGCTGCTCGGCTAGGATATGTCCTGAATATATCATTTCCTCGTGTTTCGTTGAGTTCCCCCTGGCACACACACACACACACACACACACACACACACACACACACACACACACACGCAAACCTTCAGCGGATTATCTCATTTGCTAGTTACTGGGAAGGGGAGGGGAGGGAGGGGGATGGAGAGGAGAACAGTGGGGAGACAGGAAGAAGAATTAGGAAGTAGAGGGAGAAGAGAAGGACAGTAAATAAGCGAGAGAAAGGGGCAAAAGGAGAACAAATGCAAGGGAGAAAGAAGGATAATAATTGAGGGAGAGAGGGATGAAGGATGATACTAAAGGAGAAAAAGAAGCAGAAATAAGGATAGTAAATGGGGGAGGGAGGGAGAAAAAAGGATAGCGAATGAGGGAGAGAGGGAGGAAGAACAATAATAAATGATGGAGGGGGAGGGAAAAGGATAGTAAATGAGGGAGAGGGAGAAAGAACAATAATAAATGTGGGAGAGTAGAAGGCAGAGTAACGATATCAAAACACTCAAAATAATAAAATTTTGGGAAATTGTCGAGTTTGCCAAATTACAGTTAGATTAAATAATAAAAATCTCCTTGCCAAATATCTCAGGCGATTTCTGGGTAATAACTTGGGGGTGATGGGGAAGAAGGGGGAGGGTGAGGGAGGAATGGGGAGAATGAGGAATGATGGGGAGAAGGGTGAAGGAGGAAGGAGAAGAATAAGGAATGGGAGGGGAAGGAGGAAGAGAGAGGGTGTGGAAGGGGGAGAGGGAGGAATGGGGAGAATGAGCAATGAGGGGGAGAAGGGTGAAGGAGGAAGGAGGAGAATGAGGAATGGGAGGGGGAGAAGGAGAAAGGGGGGTATCAGAACTAGATGGAAGCAGCCTTGTTTACACATAACTGTCTCTGGGACAGTGTAAGGGAGAGACAGACAGACAGGCAGACAGACAGAGACAAATATACAGACATAGAGACAGAGACAGATAGAGCGAAATGAATGAAGGAAAGACATGTAAACAAAAATAGAGACAGGGAGAAATAATTCAGGAAAAATAAAGAGATGAGAGTAAAGAAAAGGCAGAGAGAGAGAGAGAAGTTCTGGGTTAACTACCCCATGGGACAACGCTACCCCTATTGCCAGTAGTCTGTTCTGACATTTACTGTGTGTTTTAATGGAGAAAGAATGAGTTTACCAACAACTGGCATAACACATGGAACTGACTGAGTGGCATTACAAACCTACAGGAAAATTAAAATTATTAAAACACTGATAAAAAAATGTTGATAAATGGAGACAGAATGTGGATCAGTCATAATCAATATTTAAGGTCACTAACATATATCACACACACACACACAAGTTGGGGATATTCCCCCACCCCACCCCACCCCACCCACCCCCCACCACCCCCACCTCCAAGTACAGCACCTGGCGATTCTCAAAGTCTTGTACGATGGTTGGTATTCTGGCTGTCGAATCTTGATGTTTCCGCTTAGGTGGTGCTGCCTCTCCTGCAATCATCTGCTTGACGGTGATAACTGTTCCCTGATCAACACTTCAAGAATCTTCCAGATTTTGGGATAGAATGAAGTAATGTTTGCTTGCATATAGTTAGGTTATCCTTGTAAGGAGTTGTTGGTGTGAGGTAAATCTTGGGCGACATGATGAAAGGGAAACCTTGAGGTCACCTATTACGTCGACGTTTCTGTCAATATATGTATCTTCCAAGTAGTCAATGACAGGATCAGTTTCAGGTGGCATATTCTCTTGCAGTGTCTCAAATGCATCGACCACTTCATCTTGTGGCATTCGAATAGTCAGGGCATAGTCAGCATCAGCTTGATATTGTCCTTGTAACCCCTCAGATTATACCTTGCCATGTATGTTTTGTGATAAGTGGTAGTAACATCCCTTGACAGTTGTGTTAGGGAAGACCTCTTCAATAGCACTCCTGGCAGCTTGTTTATAGTCGATGAGAAAGGTATTAGGATTGTGTAAATGTCAATAGAGATTCACAGATAATGGGAGAGAGAGAGAGAGAGAGAGAGAGAGAATTGCGGAAGTTGGACAAGCCTGTGACTTTGGTGATGAGGATAAGCCATTGTCCACTCAACAGGAGGAGGCAAGGGCGAGGAAGAGGAGAAATCAGAAATCAAATGAGAGTATGACGAAACAGGAAGTGGAAACATGGAAAATAAAGAAGAAATGGGGAAAAAAGCACAGGGAAAATAAAGAGGGAAGAGAGAAAAAGAGAAGATAAAGAGGATTTATAAACAAGGACTCAAAAGGGAAAGGAAGTGGAAGAGGAGGACGAGGAGATAAGGAAGGTGATGAGAGGAAGAATAGAGTGCAAAAGAATCAGGGGGGAGAAAAGGAGGAGGAGGAAGGAATTAAGAGGAAGAGCCAAATGAAATAATGATGGTGAGAAGGTCTGAAGAAAAAAGAGGAGCAAAGTAATCAAGAAAGAAGAAGAAGAAGAAGAAGAAGAAGAAGAAGAAGAAGACGACATCTATAAAAGATTTAATTTCTAAATTCCATCCACGTTGAATTATTTTTCCTCGCTGGAAGTGTGTGCTTGTCTGTCTCGCATTTTATATTTGTGTCTGTCTGTCTGTCTGTCTCTCCCTCACACTCAGTATGTCTATCACCGTCTGTTCGATTTGTCTCTCTCTCTCTCTCTCTCTCTCTCTCTCTCTCTCTCTCTCTCTCTCTCTCTCTCTCTCTCTCTCTCTCTCTCTCTCTCCCAGTCTCATCGGGGTCGTACATGTAACTCTGTGTGTGGGGTCGTTTAAGTTAATTAGATAGGCAACATTTATCCCCGGGTTATGTACCGGCGTCGTAATAATCTCCGGGTTGTGTACCGTCGTGGTCGCTTCTTTAACCGTAAACTACAACGTGTGTGTGTGTGTAAGATAACAACGGGAGGGTGAGGGGAGGGGTTAGAGTGGGGTGGAGTGGGAAAATGTTGAATGGGAGGGAGAGGGAATAAGAGGAGGGGGAAAGGGATGGAGAGGAAAGGAGGAAAAGTTTTATATGAGGGAGAGAGAAAGAGGAGGAGTAGGAGAAAGATGATGAAAGAAAGAAGAGGAGAGAGAAGCTATAGAAGAGAATGACATGGGGAGGGGGTGGAGGGATAAGAGGGTGGTGAAGGATGGAAGGGTGAACAGGAAGAGAGAATGTAATTAGGAAGGTGATAAACTTAAGATAATGAAAGAGACGATAATTAGACACTCAGTAGCGATAGTTACATAACACCGATAACATCTGTATATTTTAATCCTAAGCGTCTCACTGACCTAAACCTAGCATAACCTAACATTAACCTAACCTAACCTAACCTAACCTAACCTAACATTAACCTAACCTAACATTAACCTAACCTAACATTAACCTAACCTAACATTAACCTAACCTAACATTAACCTAACCTAACCTAACCAAATCAAATATTAAAAGTGGCGTCCCATTAGTGAAGATCTTAAATATTCTTTGGCTATCTCATATTAAGTGAAATTTAACCGTTTACGAATTAATTTTTTATTACGTGGTAAAACTAAAAAAAAAATATATCCCGATTTGATAAGAAGAGTCATTGTTTTTTCGGCTTAATTTGCTATTATTTCTAGTTAGAGCGACGCAAGATTACCCACGAGCACTAGAGACACCGGTACAATGGTCAGTGCCATAAGGACCTGGATACTTGGCCTTGTACTGTACCTGAAACTCGTTAATTATCTCCAGGTGACACTGTAACTGTCCTACACCTCTGTCTCTTAAGGTCTCGAGCGAAATTCCGAGACAGAGACCGAGATATAAGCGCCAGAGAACGAGAAAATTCACACACACACACATAGACAAACACACACACACACACACACACACACACACACACACACACACACACACACATACAGTACACAGTTTTCCCTTACCAACATCACAAAAGACGTCATGCAGTAAAACGAGTCTTGACAGAGCGGCATTAAAAAAACAAAAATAAAAAACAGGCAAAGGCTATAACATAAACAAACTGACATGACTTGATAATAAAACTAACAAACACAGTAAAACATCACAAAGAAGCACAGTGCCGAGGTGAAATACTGCCTAACAAACAAAGCCAAGCAGTAACTGGATTATATGTACACAGAGCAGTTTTTTTTTTTCCTCTCTTTTTTTTTTATTTCGTTCAAAATATACAGAACAAAATTTACCTAACAAAATACAAACACCTTCCCTGCCCACTGAGCTCCGGCGGTGTGTGTGTGTGTGTGTGTGTGTGTGTGTGTGTGTGTCACCAACAGGATAAATTTTAGGTAAACAAGCGTTTAATTCAAGTGACATAATTAACAGGTATATATAGAAAAGAGTTGCCGTATATTTTTCACCTGTAATCTGAGTGCTCTCTCTCTCTCTCTCTCTCTCTCTCTCTCTCTACGGGGTTCACCTGTAATCGCATTAAATCATTATCAAGTGCCATTTCGTAACTCTTGCTAACACCTTTCTGTTTTTGATTGAAGAAAAAAAAATAGTAATATTCTGGTGACACTGTAGTTCGTTTATATATTGTACATTAAAAAAAATATTCTAAATTGATAACTCGTGTTAACTCTTTTATGAACGTGTTATCGTCTGGGAAAATTCATTATATATAGAAAGAATGAATTAAACTACGATTATCTATTTAAAATTCTTCGAAACCAGACAAATTTAAAATTCGTAATACGTAATAAGTCTCTCCTATGTAAACAAAATATAGTGTAAAATAATGTAAAATCTCTATTCTGGTAACACTGTAATTATTAATACTGTCAGTGAATATTTAAGAATAAAAACTTTAGTAAACGTTTTTCATGATAATTCTGTAAAACATAATAAAATTTGCTCTTAATTCTTTATTAACAATTCTTTACGTCTACTCTGATACATAAATGTTTATTGAAATTTGGTCATAAATGTGTCACTTACTCGTATGTGTTATATTTATATTGAGTGATATATGGTGACTTGTTGATGTGTGTATATGATGTGAGGAGAGTAATGAAGAGACGAGTGGAAGGTACTGTAGTTAGTGATGGACGAGAGAATAGGCAGAGATTAGTAATAGTAGTAGTAGTAGTAGTTTTATTGATTATTATTATTATTTGTATTATGATTATTGTTATTGTTGTTATTAGTATTACGATTATTTTTATCATAATTATAAATTAAAATTATAATAGTAGTAGTAGTAGGAACAATATTAGTTGTTGTAGTTGTTGTTGGTGTTGTTGTAGACTCAAAAGCGCCACCATTAATATACAAGTTCACAACAGTAGAGATATAAACAGTCATTATCTCCCGTTACCAACACTCACCTAGGCACAAGCAACGTCGTGAATATCAGTAACACAAAGCTTACCACTTTTTATGAATTTGGTAACAACTTAAAGCGGACGCAGCAATAGTGACTAGCAACAGCGGTACACAGCATTAGGTAGTAGAAGAGGTACAGCAACAATAACAGCTAACAGGAGTATTAATGGTATTGCCAACGGTAAGAGTATTCCTATCAACAGTAACACGTAAACAATAATATCAACACGAGGAAAAATAAATAAATTCAAGAAAACACAAACATCAACGTATTCTAAACAAACAAATCACTCTACTTAACAACGGTAATTCCAACGGAGGAAAATCAACAACAGTAGACAGTAGAGACCTCATATCAACAGACTAACACCCCCAAACATATATCAACAAGAACGCAACAGAAACAAAGGTCTCTAGAATCAACAGATCAACATCCATTTACCCTTGTAACATCATGGCCACTAACAGCAGCTGCAGCAGTAGGTCGTGTTGTCATGCACCGCTGACCAGCCACTACCATGCACACGAGGTTATAACTGGAGAAAGACATCAACAGCTAGGCAGCACCCGGAACGCCTTTAGTGACTCGTTGGTGGAAGAGGATGAGTGGAGGAGGTGGAGGAGAGTGATGGAGGAGGAGGGGTGGAGGAGGAGGAGGAGGAGGAGGAGGAGGAGGAGGGAGGGGGAGGGAGGGAGGGTGATGGAGGAGGAGGAGGAGGGGAGGAGGTGGTGGTGGAGGGAGGAGGGGGGGTGGAGGAGGGGGGTGATGGAGGAGGAGCAGAGGAGGTGGTGGTGGTGGTGGTTGAGGAGGAGGAGGACCGGGTTCACATCGGAAAGGTCAGATTGACACCTGTAGCTGCTGGACGTCAAAGGCAGTCATAGATTGGTAGATCAATACATACGGTTCTGTTCTGATGTTTCTATGTCTCTCTCTCTCTCTCTCTCTCTCTCTCTCTCTCTCTCTCTCTCTCTCTCTCTCTCTCTCTCTCTCTCTCTCTCTCTCTCTCTCTCTCTCTCTCTCTCTCTCTCTCTCTCTCTCTCTCTCTCTCTCTCCAGTGACTTAAGAGTTATCTAATATATACCAATCAACGACTGTGGTTTAGGGATATACAATATTTACGTAATGGAAGAACTAAGAACAGTGCAGTATGTGTGGCGGCCACCTCAGAGTAGTCCAGTGGCCGGAGGATTCCTTAGTCGAGAAATAAACACGAGTGATGAGTCTTCCGTCCTTATAAAACAGTATATGGGCAACACTGCTGTAGTCAGGCAAGGTGGTGGCTCTTAAGAATGATAGATGGAAGTAAATCTGAGGCGCTTCGGGCGAGAGCACGACAATGTGACTGAGATATATTTATAAATGTTTCAAAATTCCTAAACTTTTACTGCGCTTTTATTTTTTTTTCATTTTTTTTTAATATTTGTTTTTACTTTTGTTTCTTCGCTTCTTGCCAAGAGCTCCGTATATACCTATGATTGTATATCTGTAAACTTTCGGAGTAACGGTATAAGACTTTGCTAGGTCCTCAGATTGCCCTGGTGAAAGGTTCATCTGGAGTGGGGAAAAAAAAAGAAGGAAAACACACAAAGCCATATAGTTTTTCAGTGGCGTAACACAACTGTGAAAGTTACACACCAGCGAGGCAGGAAGTTAGCTCTTGACAGTGATGGATCTACGAAGCTGTAAACATTTGGAGTAAAAGTTGTGTTGTAGTATTTTTATAAAGTACCTCAGAATGACCCGTTGCTAATGGAACCTTTTGATATATAAGAGATGACCGAGTTTTACCCTAGTGTATCTGGACAACACAAATGCTACACTTGTTTAGCGATACACTTTCCCTTAATACAACTACGAAACTAAAAAAAAATGAAGCAAGAGTGTAGCATTTTGGAGAGTACTTTAATTGATCTGTTGTGATTTTTACCTCCTAAAATTAAAGAGCACTGAAGCCATCACTGGAAGCCACAATGGTTTTCACTGGTGTGCCCGAGCCAACCAAGACGCTGGCAACTTGATAGTGATAGATCTACACTACGATAAACCTTTAGAATGACTTTGTAGCGTTTTGGTGAGCGTCTGTGAGTGGTCCGTTACTGATGGAATCCCGTGACGTAGAATAAAAAATAAATAAAAATAAAAAATAATTTGGGAGAAGAGCGCTTGCAAATAAAGTGAATTTTAGTGCAAATATTTTAGATCAATATGGCGCGCTCCGGCAAATATGGCGGAAGTTTGTGTCAATATTGTGACTGTTGAGATTGCAGCTGTTCATTTATCCTCCCACCGTTTCTCTTCTTGTTATAGAATTCATAAAAAAAAGGGGAAAAGAACTGTCGGTAAAGGAAAGTTTTGGACGTGGTGTGTGTGTGTGTGTGTGTGTGTGTGTGTGTGTGTGTGTGTGTGTGTGTGTGAACGTTCCTTGTGTACATAGGATATACACACCTCGTTGAAACCAGGGGGATCGGGGCCTCGTGCACGTATGTTTGTGGACCTGGGACTTGTTGAGGATTAGGGCCACATATGGTATTGGAGACTTTCATGGCCGTGCACGTTCACTTATAACGTTAGGGCAGTTCACAGTCACACAGAGACCCGAGACTTGCTGGGAGAAGGAAACATGCACGTCTAAATGGAGACCCAGAGCTTTCCCTTTCCTCTTCAATTTCTCATCCTCCGCCTCAACTTTCTCTTCCTCCTCAACTTTCTCCTACTCCTCCTCCTCCTCCCCAACTTTCTCCTACTCCTCCTCCTCCTCCCCAACTTTCTCCTACTCCTCCTCAACTTTCTCCTCCTCCCCCTTCTCTTCCTTCTCTTCCTGGGGATTGAGGCGTGCGTCGACCCGAGCAATACGTCTTCCAATAGGGCCTTCTCTGACGCTATCAGTCTGACCATACAGGCTGACTGTACCAAATATCTCTTCTGTACTCACGATACTCTTCTTTTCAGCGAATCTTTCTCTTCCTCTTTTTCCTTCTCTCTTTATTTTTTCACTATGAGTTTTATCTTCCCTAGCTCTTTTATTTTATTTTCTCTCTCTCTCTCTCTCTCTCTCTCTCTCTCTCTCTCTCTCTCTCTCTCTCTCTCTCTCTCTCTCCAGTATCCCTATTTCTTACCCAGGTGAGTGGCGGCGACCTACAGATAGTGAGATAAGACACACCTCACCAATTCAGACCATCAAGATGCTAACCGCCAATAGCCTTCAGGGGCGATACTGCACCAGATTCATTATACCTTATACGACCTTATGACCAGAGGGAGGATCTATTTAACACTGTCTGTCATGAGTGAGGTGTCGATGGTAACGGCAGTGGGAGTTCGACCATGTGGGCGTGTGGGGAATGGCACGGTCTTCCCTCCATCGGTGACAGGCTTGGCTGGACGCTCAGGGGGTGGGGATGGGAGTCCTCGAAGCCTCAGCGTTTGGGGGGGATTTACCGTGATTTACAGGGGGGGGAGGAGGGGGTAGAGATTTTCAGTGATGTATCGTTGGGATTTATCACCAGGGTGTGACCTTATCCTTCTTGACCCCCATTTACTGTATGAGTTAGTGTGCTAATGGCCAGTGACTTTGACACACACACACACACACACACACACACACACACACACACACACACAAACAAACAAACATAAAGTCAAAAGGACACCAACACAAATCAACAACAACATTATAACAACAACAACAACAACAACAACAACAACAACATATGAAGCAATTTAGTCATGAAAACAAACAATGCTCGTGACAGATCATCGGATTTTTGCAATACACGAAAACAGTTCAGTGTTTGTGGTGATCGAGACTTGTGTTTGTGGTGATTGGGAGTTCTGTTTGTGGTGCTAGAGTTCTGTTTGTGATGATAGAGAGTTCTGTTTTGTGGTGATAGAGACTTGTGTTTGTGGTGATCGGGAGTTCTGTTTGTGGTGATCGAGAGTTCTGTTTGTGATGATAGAGAGTTCTGTTTGTGATGATAGAGAGTTCTGTTTGTGGTGATAGAAAGTTCTGTTTGTGATGATAGAGAGTTCTGTTTGTGTTAATAGGGAGTTCTGTTTGTGATGATAGAGTTCTGTTTGTGATGATAGAGAGTTCTGTTTGTGGTGATTAGATCTATTTGTAATACTTTATGGTGAATTTGTAGTTCAGTAGTGTTTATAAGTAGTATCTGTAGTGTTTATAAGTAGTATCTGTAGCGTTTATAAGTAGTACCTGTAGTGTTTATAATTAGCATCTGTAGTGTTTATAAGTATTGCTCGTATGTTTGAGGTGATGAAACAGAGCTAAGTTTAGCGTGTACTGTACAGGTATATAGTTCACAACGGAAAAGCAAAGTTTGTAGACTAGAGTATCAGTATAGTTTGTAGTATGAAAAAGGGAAAGTTTGTAGTGTAATAAAGCAAAGTTTACAACGTACAATAAACAGCAAAATGTTCATTAAAAATTAGTTAATATAGAATAACAAAGTTTGTAGCGTGAAAAAAAATCGAAATAAGATCAAATTTTATGGTGTAAAAAAAATATAAGTTTATAATGTGTAAAAAGCAATATTTACAAACACTACTTCTGGGTACCTATTTTTCCTGGGGCTTTTTAAGGCTTCAAGATTACCCTGGTATAACTACAGAGATAATAGTAATAATAACAATAATAATAACGATAATAACAGGAACAAGCGGGCTCACGAGACGATAAGTAATATTAAGTGTTATTACTTCAGTCCTTCCAGCAGGCGTTTAATCCCCCAAATGACCGGGTGACAACAGCGATAACCCTTTCTCTACACCTGCCCAATATCGTGTTAATCCCACAGAGAGAAAAAAATATATATATATTTCTTACCTGAAGCTAAAAGCGGAAATTATACAACACACACACACACACGTCAGATTACGTTAGCACCTCGGTTAAATTTAAACACTATTTTGGAAGGTATTTTAATCTTATATCTCTGAGTAAGTTAGTTTGTTAAGAGGGGGTTGGATCACGTTACGAGTTACAGGTGTAAATGACTCGACTTACCTGGAATATGTTTTTGAGGATCACTGATATTGTTAAACCCAGGATGAACGGCTTATGCTCTCAGGGATTTGGAAGAAAAAAAATATTTGGGTTATATTTATTAGTCTGAATGTATCAATTTGAGATAGTTTACAATTTACAGTGCAAAGGTGCAAGCTTGAGCAAGAAGAGAGAGAGAGAGAGAGAGAGAGAGAGAGAGAGAGAGAGAGAGAGAGAGGTGGGGAATATGAATTTAAGCTTTGCATAACACCAAAGAAACAATATCTCATTCTCCATTCATCTATTAAATAACAAGTAAGTAAACTATGGCGCAGTGTGACGTCACAAGATAAAATATCTAGCGCGGTGACGTCATAGCATGAACAAAATCTAACACAGAGTGACGTCACGACATGAGCAAAATCTAACACAGTGACGTCACAACTTGAACAAAAATATAACACAGAGTGACGGATGGTTACTCAACAGAAATTAAATCCTTTTGACAGTTCACAAAGAATTATATTTAAACTCGTTTGGTACCTCGAAGCATTTTAAGGGCCCAACACATTTTTAGGGCTTAAAACATTTTGAGGGTTCCAAGCATTTTTGAGGGTTTGAAACATAATAAGGGTCCGAAATATTCTCAGGGTTCGAAATATTTTGAGGATTCGAAATATTTTGAGGTTTCGAAATATTTTGAGGTTTCGAAATATTCTGTGTTCGAAATATTCTCAGGGTTCGAAATATATTGACGTATCGAAATATTCTGTGTTCAAAACATTCTCATGGTTCGAAATATTCTCAGGGGTTCGAAATATTTTTAGGTTTCGAAGCATTTTCAGAGCTCGTAATTCTCGTGAACCATACAGGTTGTGGGTTCTGGCTACAGCATCCAGGAAGAGGCCGGAGGGCAGCAGGTGACCTACCTACCTCCTGACATTCCATCCTCAGCTGGGACAAAGACCCCAACCTTTTCACGACTGTCTTTTTCGATTTTTTTTTCTCTTTTTTTTTTTGGTGCAAGAGGAGAGTCAGTGGCAGGAATGCAATATAAAAATCTTCCTTTTCTTTTTCTTTTCTTTATGTTCTGACTGTTTCAGCTGTCAGAGAATGAGGAGGGAAAAGAAAAAGAGAGAGAAAAGAGAGGTAGGGAGAGAGAGAGAGAGAAAAGGGGAGAAAGGATGGAGAAGATAGAGAGAGAGAGAGAGAGAGGAGGAAATATAGAGAAGAAGAGTGGAAAGGAGGGAAAAGAGAGAGAAAGAGGGTAGAAAGAGGGTGGAGAGAGAGAGAGAGAGAGATCCCGCGTCTCATTTTCTGCCATCATTACTAACGTGAGGTACAACAAACTCAACCTTCACAAACTCTGTGCCAAAAACATAAAATTTTTACCTCTTTGTTTTGGTATTTGGCACACACTACTAGGCAGAGGCTGTGTGTGTGTGTGTGTGTGTGTGTGTGTGTGTGTGTGTGTGTGTGTGTGTAGTATGTGTGTGTGTGTGTAATGCAGAGGCACCAACATAGCCATAGAATAATGCTGTGATGTATAACACGTCACAATGTGTTTTAAAACAGAGTACAGTATTACTCTCTGCCACCCTCTCTCTCTCTACCTGCATATATACTCTCACTCTCCTTGTAACTTAGCATAAAACGTTAGTTCTATTTTAAAGCTCCGAGGGTTTCCAACTTTAGGTCATTATGTAAAATGGGCAGCAAAACAGTGCATGACTCGTCCAAAGGGGGAGTTAACTAATTTGGGTTGAATTTAGTTAAGGGGCGGGAGGTGGGGAGATGTGTTAAGGGGGAAGTTTGGAGGGGGAGTTAAGGGGGAAGGTGGGAAGGGGTGTTAAGGGGAGAAGGTAGAGAGGGGTGTACTAAGGAGGCAGTGTACTCGACCACTTTCACTTTCCCAACTTAATGCTAGGTGGTACAGGAGGAGGGCCCCGGGATCGAACCAGTGACTCTTAGGACCTGGAGGGGTGTGTATATTCTCTCTTAATTACAGGTAGAGGTACAGGTACGATTAACACAAACAATATAGTAACAATTCAGGAACTAACTAACAATTATAATCACTATAACTTTGGTAGTATTAATAGAAATAATAATAATGATGAAAATAATTATAGTAGTAATGATAATAACAACACTAACAACTTTAATAAATAACTGAATAAATTGTTAAATAAGATTACTGGTAGTGGAAGATAAATTTAAGTTCCTCATCAAGT